TGGTCAAAGTCATTAAGTTACCTGTACATTTTATCTTAAATATATTTAATGCATCTAATTCTTGGCAAATTGATAATGCATGTCATACAAGATAAAAATAGCTCTTCATCAAATATTTTCTAGATATTTGGAAAACCAGAGAAATCTTTACTTGCTCTAATCAGAAAACAAAAAGGAAATGGCCACATTAAAATTCCCATTTATATTAATGAATGAGCTTCTGTAGGGTGTGTAAATTTTCATAAACATCTTCCATGAAAAACTACTCTCCTCTATCATCAGAAGAAAGCTGTTTGTGGACGGACGGGAAAACCCCAAGAATTTATAAGAAGAAGATCAATAACCATCAAGCCAGGAATGGAAGTGTCTCAAGGTTTTAATCAAGGAGGGAGAGAGGGCAAGATGTGGATGAAGTCACAATAAGTTGTTGAAACAAATGGAGACTATGCAAAAGAGAGAATCCTGAACAGATAAAGTTGGGGCTCCTCACAAACTCCAGATGTTCCTTTATATTTCCCTGCTTCCCTTACAGCCAGACTGGGGAATAGTGACTATTACTGGCCTCATGTACTATGAGTAGTAGTGATGTAGGAGGTGTTTTCTGTTCATAACCCTGATCAATACAACATGACTTTGGGACATTCATAGTCTCTCTCTCCCTCTCTCTCTCTCTCTCACACGCGCGCGCACACAAACACACACACTCACACATACATGCCACCTAATAAAAGTAGATGCTCCATAATTATTTGATCATTTGTTGAATGTGCAAATGCCAGCCCTATCTTGAGACATTCCTTTGATGCCCACAAGCCAGTACAAATCCTTCGTCTGACTTTGAGAAATAGAAAACAATTTGTGTAAAATACTATTTGTCTGTGTACAAGATGCCTGTGAATATTCACATTGATGTATTTGCACAGAATTCCTTGAAAACATGGATGTGAGGGCTGAGTCTAGAATTAGTCAAACTATGGCAGTCTGGAATTTGCACAGTGATGTTAATGATGGTCATGATGGTGTCCCTCCATAATGGTGCATTTACCTTTGCTAAATTATAGAATCAATAAGCCATGTATAAAGTTATATTAATGGTTTCAGTGATTGAGTTCCTAATCTGCAAACCAAGAATACATTGGATATGTTATGATCTATGCCTCGCTCACTAAATTTAACCTATCAGTGGTCAGAAGGAAATAAATAATAATGGCTAAGAGATAAACAATTTTGACCAACATACTTTAGCTTTGTTTTAGCTTTATTAGTGCTTTTAAATAACCTTTCCTTAAAAAGAAGACTGACCACCATGGTACCTTGTGAATTATAATACCAATCATGCAACATGTAAGGGGGCAAAAGGAACTGCACTATTGCAAGGGCTTTTAAATCATGCGAAAGGAAAACAATATATTCATAGAAACAGTCATAGGTTATAATGAAAATTTAACAGACTATAAAAAATGACTATTAAAAGTCATGTCATTATATGCTTAATGATTTAATACCTTTAAAAATGTAATGACTGAATAAACATATTTTTAAAGGATGAGGGTAAAAATCCAAGATAATACTATTTTTTTTTCAAAATAATTTTCCTGAGTGGAAGATAGGTTGATTAATGAGTTAAGATAAATTTCAAAGCAAATATTCCAAATATTAGTTTGACACTTACTACTTCACCCAAATAACTGGCTAAAGAAGTGTCCTCAACAGGTAGCACTATATAGATTCTGGAAGAAGACCCATGGCAAGAGTTCTTTCACCCACTTCAACCTGGAAGCACCTCTATCAGGATTGTCCCCAAGCCTAAGAGGACAAGTAGCACTTTTCTTCTCACCTCCAGCACAACAGGAGACACTAACATGTAAGGAGTAAAGACTTTGGTAGAACATTTCAGCTCAAAATATATTTTCATATCATAATAATATCTGATACAACTGGCCTCATGCCCAGGGTTTTTTTTCCCCCTTAAATATTATAAAACCTGGTTTTTGAAAGCATGAGTTATGTACCTCATAAATAAAATATCTGTGCATATTTCATTAGAATTTTTATTTTGATATTTAGTTCTGAACATAAACCATAAAGGAATCATGATGTATCCTTTTAGTTAAAAATATCATTTTATTTGGAAAAATCCACAGTTCTGAGTCCATAAAATTTGTAATATGTATTATTAACTATGAAAATGAAATTTTAATATTTAGATAAATCCTATTTTATGACATAGGATATGATTTTTCATATTTAAGGCACCCAGTACTTGCTTACAGTGTACTATTTCTGAGACCCACTTAACTTATTAAGTTTCACAGAAACATGTATGTGAGGTTTTGTCATGTGAAGTCACCCTTCTGAACACTACAATATTCTGAATAGAAAGTCTCTAATGGGACGCCTGGGTGGCTCAGTGGTTAAGTGCCTTTGGCCCTGGGTGGCTCCGTGGTTAAGCCTCTGCCTTTGGCTCAAGGCATCACCCCAGGGTCCTGGGATTGAGTCCCACACTGGGCTCCCCACAGAGAGCCTGTTTCTTCCTCTGCCTGTGTCTCTGCCTGTCCCTCATGAATAAATAAATAAAATCTTTTTTTTTTTGAAAAAAGAAAGTCTCTAAAGTTTTTCTTTAAGAAATAATATTCTTCAAAATAAGCAGTTAATTTAGCTTAGTATTTCGATTTAATATTAAAACAAAACTGTTTGGACACCAAACTCTGAAGTTCACATTTCTCAAGTAGTAATAGAAGACAAAAATTCATCTATATTTATGATTAATCTACATACAGACATGCTTTTATTGTTTTCCCCGAAGGGTGCCCTTTACAAAGGCATATCTCCAAACAGTCTGTATGGAAAGAGATGCTTTGGGATTGCAAATACGTTTGCACACATCTTTAGGAGGAATGGTGTTTTAAAAGGACATTTCAAAGGCTGTTAACACCATGGTTACCCAAGAAGCAGTCAGTGCTCTTTCCTTGGAGCTTATATTTTAATTAGGCGGCATAATCAGTTTTTGTCGTCTGAAATCCTGGAAAGCGGGGGATGGGAGAAGAATCCTACAGCCCCCCTCCCCCCACCCCATCCCCGGGGCCAAGAGCACAGGGAGCGAGGGTTCTCGGGGTTATAGTCCTTAGTCTCATTCTCACGTACACAGTGACTCGGTGGAAGCAGATCCGCTTGTCCCCGGGGGACTTGAATCATCCATTAGCTTATAATGTCTGAGGTGTCAGACACAATTGAGATCCCAAGAAGACGGAAAGAGCGAGAAGGATGAGCAAGCACCCTGTGGGAGAGCAAAGGGCTCCAGAGGTCAAGTTCCTGGAACGGTCCTCCCCTCCAGCTCTCTCCTGCTGGGGCCGTGCGGGGGGCAGGGTTGGGCACTGCGCCCCGGCTCCGAGAAGCCCTCAGCCTCCTGGACAACCGCAGTTTCCCACGTGGGTTCCTCCTTAGCTGCCTGGGAAAGAACGAGGCGCGATTTTCTGCCCACGGGCCGCCCTGGAGACGGGGCCGAGCGGCCGCACCCGGCGCGTGCCCTCCGGCCCTGCTGGGGCGCAGCCGCGCTCCGAGGCGCCGGGCGGCAGGTGCGCGGCTTTGCGGTCACCCGGTTGGGTCCGCCCGGCTCCTACAGACCTGCTGAAGTTCCGGAGTGTGGCCCCCGTCTCCTCGGGGTGCGGGCTGCGTCTCCGAAGCGACACCCAGCAGGGGCGGCACGAAAACCCGAGTCCGCCCTTCCCCTTCCTCCTGCGCCCCACACCTGCGTCCACCAAGTCCTCCTGGCAAGGCGACTCCGGGTGCGCGGCGCTCCTTCCTCTTGGGGGGGGGGGGGCTGTCTGGGGCCTGAGCTACCTTGGTGCGATCTTCGAATGGTTGGTTCGCATTATTTTCCTGTCCTTCTTCCTTTTGCTGAGCGAGGAAATAAACGAACTTGTCCCTCGTCTTCTTGCCTTCCCCGAGTTGGAGGATTCATCGGGCCAGCACGGAGGGCGGGGAATGTTCTCGTTCAAGGCCGCGCTGCCCCAGGATTCCCGAGCTTCGCAGAACTGGAACTTTGCGAGCAGGGCGGTGGAGGGACATCCAGGGAATCCGGCTGATGGGGCTCTCGGCGCACCGGCGTCCCTTCCAAGCTCAGGACCTGCCCACCTCCCGCGGCGCGCTCCCCCCCCCCCCGCGTGCACCGCGCCCCCTGCGCCCCCCTGCGCCCCCCGGGTGCCCGGCCTCCTCTCCCCTCCCGGCCTCTCCGCTCCCACCCGGGCCTCCGAGGCCGTGGGCGCGTCCCTCTTACCTCCTCGGCCGGTCCCTAGAGAACTTCCGAACCCCCGGGGGTCTACACTGCCCCCCCCCGCCCCAAGTCGGGCGGAACATCTCTCGCGAAAGAACTACGGCGACGTGTCCATAAACTTTGCTGTCGCGGGCGCCGCCGAGCCAGCGGCCGGGAGCACACACCTGCCTGCACGCGGGCGCAGGTACACCTGTCCGGGCGCGCACACGGCCAGGGAGCTGCCCCCCCCCCCCCCGGCGACTGCTCGGGGCGCGGAGACGGGGGGGGGGGACGCGCGGGGCTGGGGGGGGCAGCGAGGGAGAGATTCTAAATGGGCTTGGGCGGCGGGGTCTCGAAGATGGTGATTCTAAACACGCACACAGGGCGTCCGTGCACCTCCTGCACACCGAGCAATTCCCCCCGGAGGGCGCACACTTTGGAGAAACACACCACTCGGGGATGCACCGTGTACATACCCCCCCCGCCCCCCGAGGCACATTCATCCTCAACCTGACAAGCCCTTCGGTCTGCGCGACTTCTCAGTCCGGCCCAAACCAGCCCCGCGCACACGAGGATGGGGACCCGGGGTCCCGGAGCCCTCGCCCCGGCGTGCGGAGCCCCGCGGCAGGTGCGGGCTGTCGGCGGAGGGGCCGGGTCCCCCCCGCCCCCCGCCCCGCGCGGTCACCCCCCCCCCCGCCAGCCGCGCCGAACGCGAGCAGGGGAAGCCGGAGCCCCGCGAGCCACTCACCCCCAGCTTCCTGCTGCGGATTTTCACGTAGCCCTGCTTGACTATGTCGTTAAAGTTGGAGGCCATGGCCGGCGCGCTGGGGCTCGTCCCCTCGGCGACCGGCTGCCCGGAGTCGAGAGCCGCCGTCCGCCGCCGGGTCCGCGCAGGGCTCGCATCCAGCCAGCCGCCGCCCGGTCCCCCGAGCTCCCGCCGGCGGGGACGCGGGCGGGTGGCAGGGCGGCCGCGGACGGGGAACGCGGCCCGGCGCCGCGAGCTGCGCCCGCCCCGCTCGTTCCGGGCTCACCTCCGCCCCCCGCCGCCCGCCGCCCGCCGCCCGCCGCCCGCCGAGCGCCGGGCCCGCGCCGCCGCCAGCTGCGGGCGCCCCCTCCGCGCCGCCGCCCCCGGCAGCACCCACGGGCTGGCGCCTCGCTCGGCGGCGCACAGCTGGCCCGAGCGCACCGCGCGGCTCCCCGGCGCGGGGGAGGGGAAGGGGAGGGGAGGGGAGGGGCGGGGCGGGCCGAGGCGCCCGCCGGCTCCCTCCCCCCGGCCCGCGGGGGGGCTGCGCTCCGAGCTGCTCGCCAGACGCGCTCCAGCCCCCGCGGCTCGGCCGGGAGCTCCCCCCGCCGCCCGCGCCCCGCGCCCCGCGCCCCGGGGTCGCGCCCCCCATCCCAGCCCTCGGGCTCCCCTCGGCCCGCAGCGCCCTCCCGGGCGCGGGATTCCTGAGGACGCGCGCGGCTCCTCGTTCCGGGGCTGTCAGCTGGGCACGGGGACAGGGCGGTGGGGATGCGCCGGCCGGAGGAGGCCACCGGGAGCGACACAAAGGTGTGTTTCTAGGGCCGTGTGTACGTGCATCTCTGTGCCTGAGCACCGCTCGCGGTCCGGGTCTTTGCCCCATTGGGAAGTGCAGACCGACGCCGAGCCCTTCCCGGCGCACACAAAGAGACCAACCGTGCGCATGTGTCTGATCCCTGGGCTGCTCCGGAGCCCGCAGCCCCCGGGCGAGGCGGCCCTTCGCCGGCGTCCTCTCGCCCAGCCGCGGCGACCAGGACCCGAGTGGGCCGACTGATGCGCGCCTTGGACTTAACAAAGTGGCTCGTGGCATTCCACCTTCTAGGGGGAAACGGAGACCGTAACTGTTTGCAACCATGCAAAGGATTTATTCAGATGCTCAACTTGTAAAACCAAAACAATGGAGAACTCTCCCCCCCACCCCCACTTTACGTAGGAACGCCTGACATGCAAAAGTAGGCTCTTCCCCAAGTGCAAAGAAATTTTGATTCAAAAATGATATCAGTTTTATAACATGTAAGGGAAAATAGGGAGTACGGAATTCTAGCCCGAGGCAGTGCGGGGGGGTGAGGGGGGGTGCTATAGGCAAGACTATTTAGTACCCGGCAAACTCACGATATTTTTTTCTTTAAGGCGAAAAAAAAAAAAATGGATAAAGATTGAAAATTTTCTAAGTGACTCATTCACTTATAGAGAGTCTATATTTGATAAAAGTTCAAAAGATTATGCATATTTCTTGCTTACCAGACCAGGCAGTTATCTTGCCATGTTTTCATTTAAAATTTCTTAGCCCTATTGGGAACATAATCATTTGAAGAGAGAAAAGGAAACTACTTGATTGACGGGAGGAAACATATGAAAGCTTAAGGGACAAAGTAGCATGACCCTTCACCCCAACCCGTAGACACCTCAAAGGTGATTTTTTGTGCCATCATTAGCAAAAGTCTTCATCGAGAGCCCATATAACTCAGTGGAAATTCTTACTTTAGCATACGATTATTCCTCTTCTTTCAGTGTTTGTAACCCTTTGGACTGTCCACAATGCACAGGACCAGATGTTGAGGCAGATAATTCAGAATCACAGGGTAAGATCCCTCAGGCAGTTCCTCTGGAAAAAGCTCAAGCTCTGACCTTCCCAGAAAATTTCCATAAACTCCCTATTGCCTTAGTATGATTCTGCACCCCCACTCCCCCCAATAGCTAGGTATGTTGTGTGTTCCATTCACTTGTTGCTATTACCTGTCCTACATGGTTATGATTTCTTTGTGTGAAGACTGATTTAGATTTGCAGACGCTTTACATTGTTTCATCCAGTCCCCTTGCAGTGGCAAGTGTTAAGCAAAAAATACTTGCCATTTAATAGTTTAGGAAACGGGGGCTCTGAGACAGACATTCAGTTTTAGAGACACCATTTCCAGATTGGTTTTGGGTCTACAATAGTTCCATGGCCACATACTTTCTCCATCATTTATAGAAGAATCTGTTTCTATAAATCAATTGTGAGGTATTTGAAGTCAGAGATTAATTTTCTCAATAGTAAGTTCAGGGTCAGATAGGTTTCATAAATCCGGCTTTTAATAATTATGTAATGATTATGCCTTTGCTTATATACTTAGGTAGGCCTTTATGACACCCTAATATGATTTAAATATTCTCCTACGATTACTTTAGATTCTTAAATTTCTGATAGAGCAGCGTGTGTGTGTGTGTGTGTGTGTGTGTGTATTCAGTTGATTGTATCCTCATGGCATCATTTACTGTAGTCCCCTGAGCCTTAAACTTCCTATTAACTAGTAACATGACTTAGAAATTTGAGTACATTCTTCTCTTTTTTTTCCCAGAGTAATTTGTAAGAAGTGCTGTATATATTCAACTAAATCACATCAAAAAGAACAAAATGTCTGACTGCTCCATTGATTAGAGAGTTCAAGTGTTGTCAACCTGATGATAATCCATTATAATATTCTCCACCAAACTCCTACCTAATGGTTTTTCAGCCTTGGATGATCATTGCACTGATGCATTATTTCATTAGGGATTGTAGATTTATCATTTTCTCATTTAATTTTATTCCTGAATTTACAAACTAGTATCTTAGAAAACTACAGGACTGTCCTAAAATAGATTCTTTATAGGAAAAGTAGGGAATATGCCTGATTCTTAACCCTTATCAGCCATTTTTCAGAAGTATTGAATGTGTCCTAACAAACACAAAAGGACGCACTCCTCCCTTAGAAATATCATTAAAAAATTGAGTTTTGTATTTTTGATACATTTCAATTCATCAGAATCATTATTCTTTTTGGAATTTTAATTGCCTCATCTTTGACCAGAAGGAGCTGCTTCAGTTGACATTTTTGTGTTGTTATCAGGTACCCATGGCCCTTAATAGCTTTGTTGTGATCAATCACAAGATATCCGATTCATCTTGTACATTTCCAGCTCTCGACCTGGAATCCATTATTTCCCCTAGGAACCTTTGTTTGTTTTAATGGGAAATGAAATTCAGTTCCCATAATCTGGTTACTAGGATGTTATTTTTTGCTACTGATTCTAAGCTTTTCAGTTACAAGGACATGAAATACTTTTATTTTAGAAGGATATTTCAAAAGAGAAAAATTCTGCATTTTAATGGGTATCTCCAATTCAATTACTGTCAATAGATCCCATATTTAAGGACTGCTTCTTTTCTTTTGAGATTTTCATTATCATTATGTAAAATAGTTATGTTTCCAACAACCAAACCTACCAAACAAGTCACCAAAATAGTTCTGACTTTTGTCCCTTCCTCTGTTTTCTGCCTCTCTTTCTTAGGAAACTATTCTTATTAGTTTTGGGGCTATCCTTGCATTGTTTCATTTTGATGATATAAGGAAAGATATATATGCATTCCTTTTTCTGTTTTCTTTCTACATACACAAAAATAACGTGCTATTCATTCTCTAATTACTATAGCAGATAGCCTCTAAACTTGGCCCCCAAGGATCCCTAGCTTTTGGTGTAATGTCATAGAATTTCTCCTTCTGAGTGTGGGCTGAGCTTTTTGACTAACTTCTAGTTAATAGAATGGCGGAGGTGATGGAGTGCCTTTTCTAAATTAGGTTATAAAAAGACTGTAACTTCAATTCGGGTGATCTTTATTGGATTGCTTGCTCTGAGGGAAGCTAGCTGCCACAATATGAAGCAATACAGCAGAGACACCTATGTGAGTGAACCTAGAGAAAGATCATCCGAGGCTTTCCAACAAACCTGTGAGGAAGCCCAGGAAGGGATCCTCCCCAATGAAGGCTTTAGGTGACCACAGCCCATCCAACACTGAGAGACTCTGAGCAGGAACCAAGCCATCTAAGCTGCTACTGGTTGCTTCTAAAGAATGGAAGCTGTAAGATAACGAGTTTGTTTTCATCTTTCCATATACTAACTTTTGAGGTATTTTTTTTATGCACAAATGGGTAGCCAAAATCCATTTTGGCACGTGGAAATAGGGTGTTGCCATACAAAACCTGTAAAATTGGGGCATGGCTTTGGAATCCATCAGTGGCCATGAGAAGGGCGCAAGAGAGGGCTTCATGGCTTGCAACCTTGAAGACAAATTGCAAAACTTTGGACATTGAGGATATTGTGCATGAGACCTTACCATAAAGTGGGAGGAAAATATTGGAAATTAAAGGAAGAAGCATTGTGATTATGTAGAAGCAGGAAACTTAGATGAACTGTTCCTGCAGCTATGTGGAAATATGTACTCACTAAACTGTGTCATCTAGATAAGATTTCCAAGCAAAGTGTTGGTGATGCAGCCTTCTTGTTGCTTGGTGAAATGAGAATGGAGAGGGATAAATTGAGGGGAGGATCATTAAACAAGAAGGAACCAAGAATTGATGGTTTTGTTTGTTTTATTTTAAGTATTTATTTATTTATTTATTTATTTATTTATTTATTTATTTGGGAGTGGATATGCCCAGGGGGAGGGGCAGAGGGAGAGGGAGAGAGACAATCTCAAGCCAACTCCACATTGAGTGCAGAACCCAACAGAGGGCTCCATCTCCCGACCCTGATATCATGACCTGAGCTGAACGAAATGAAGAGTCAGACATTTAATCTTCCGAGCCACCCAGGGAACCCAAGAACCGAAGGTTTTAAATAACCTCGCCTTGTGCTCACTTTGGTAGCACATGTGCTAAATGTCCTCAGCCCCTCCACTGTAACAATGCCAGGGTGCAGAAAGACTTCTGAACAAAGATGAATCCTGGCATGGCTATGAAAATTTGATCTAAAGATAAAAGTCAAGGGTGTGACTATATGTTTTGGGGTTTTGGGGGTTTTTGTAGGATTTTAGGAAATCAGTTATTTTATGGTCAGATCTTTGGCTGTCTCTTTAGACCACATTTTCATGGCAATGCTCTGGATTTGATCTAATAAAAAGATTCACAGGAAACCCACAAAATTCTCAGAAGATTCATAGATGAGAAACATTATCAGGCAAAGACTGAGAATGAGGAGATA